AGGGCTTCTAAAATGTGGGAAGCTAGAGAGGTTACCATTTGAGACATTTACACAGCAACATTTAGGGACGTTTTCCTCTCTGCCTCAAAGCAGTGTGGTGTAATGTAAAGTATGCTGGATCTGAGTTCAGAGGAGCTGGGTTCAAATTCCAGCTCTAGCATGTACTAGCTATGTGGCAGTTGGGCACATTTAACTTGGGCAGTTAACTTCTCTTGGCCTCAGTTTCCTCATCTGAAAAAATGGGGAGGTGTTGGATTAAGATCATAGATTTAGAGTTGAAAGGACCTTAGATGTTAACTAGTCCAGTCCCTTCATTTTATGGATGAGTAATCTAGTTATTTCAAAATTCTCTAAATGAAACATAGATCTTCTCCTTGGTGTGGCCTTAGTAGCTGCCTCCTTTCTAATTAGGGTCTTTGTGCTTTAGATATGTTTGGTGGGCACAGGATGTGAGTGCTGACTAAACCATAAAAGGGGCCAACCCACATCTGGGAACTTGATTTTGATTGTGAAATGGGAGCACGTTGGGCCCTTCTTGTGCTGGGAAAATATGAGACCATTGCTTTATTTATCAACAGAAGGTTGGCTCAGTGGTGCTACTGATTTCTAGGTGCAGGAGATCCAGAATATTAATAATTCCTCATGTTTACATAATACTTTAAATTTTAACAAGTAATTTGTAAATTGAAATGATGTTTAACTAATAACTTTAAATTTTATAAAGTGAATTATTTACAACATTGCAGTGAGATCATTAGTGAAATTATTATTATGTCTACTTTACCTATGAGGAAACTGAGATGTCTAAACTGGGATTCAAACCCAGGTCTCCCTACTCATCTAGTGTTTTCCAGACTATGCTAGGTTTCAGTCACACTGGCCAGGCACAAACAAGAGGGCAGCTTAGAGCCAGAACTAACAGGATGATTGTGGCTTTGCTCTAGGGAATTGACATTCAAGGGAATATGTTTCTTCCCTAGGGCAGTCCTCTTCCTTTTGCTGTGTCACTGTCCCTCTCCACCCATGGCCCTTTTGCTAAGCCTTGGATTATCACTTAATGAATTATTGTCAATGTCATGCCCCTGTCCCGTGGTTTCACCCAACCTCTGGGCCTGGAGATTGGCAATGCTTGGGTTTCCTGGGACCAGCTGCTAGGTTGGTGATGATGGGAGTATACCTTGGCTTCCCTAGATATAATTTTAAGATCTTGATTCATTTTCCTTTCCCCCTTCCCCCCACTCCTTCCCCTTTCCCCCAACTAAAGAATTTGCTCCATGTGACAGTTTTCCCATTGACAGCTCTGGTCTGGAGTGGCATGCTCCTAATGCCAGCATTCTGCCGCCTTGGGCTAAGACATGTCTACACTTTGAGGATCTTCAAATACATTGAAGAAATCCTGAGACACTAGGGGAACTACAGACCATGATCTGGGGGCTATTACTTTCATCACCAAATCTAGCCCTTTACAAATAATCAGCTCTCAATTAGGCACACTAAAGGAATGAGGTGGCATCATAGATCATCCCAAATAGGATAATTCCCCAAAATACTTTAAACAAGCAACCTCCTTTAAAGTTCTAGTATTGGAGAGAGACAGAAACCCAGTGTATTGATTAATCATGTTAAATAAAGCTACATTCATCATATTTGGAGGAAGGTAGGATATGATTTGACCTGTAATCCTCTGTGATCACCAGCTCTGCTATTAACAGTCCTCTTCTGAACTTAGCCTTGGGATGCATTCTGTGATTCTTTTTTTAACAATAGATTTTTATTCTCCAGTGTGTTCCACTTAGGCTTACACTAAAGTCGGGTGAGGTTTTGTAGATAAAATCTTAGAGCAGGAAGGCCCCACAGGTGTGGGCCTTTTAAACAAGAATCCTTTCTACATTATCCCTGACAAGTGGTTATCTGACTTATGCTTGATGGTCTCCACTGATGGGGAACTCACTCCCTCTCAAGACATCCCATTTTATTTTTGGAATGCTCTAATTAAGAAGTTTTCCCTTATATGGAGTGCCTCTTGGCAATATCTACCATCGTTCCTAGAGTTTCAGGTAAGTTGAATACCTTATTCACATCACAATCTTTCAAATACTTGAAGAAAGCTACCATTTTCATTGAAATCATCTCTAGACTACACATTCCCAATGCTTTTTAACAAAAATGCTAGGTCCCTAGTAATTTTTTTTTTAAAAACTGGAACCCATCCTCAGACAGCTTATTTTTGAGTCCTTATGCTATTCTAGTTGTCTTACCCATATGTGCTCTAGTTTGCTAATAACATCCTTTCTAAAATATAACACCTAGAACTAAAAGGAGTTTATTTATAGATGTGGTTTGACCAGGCCAGGGGCCAGTAGAATCATCACCATCCTTCCTCTAGACATTATGTTTTCATGAATGGAATCTAAGATCACATTTTTTTTTTGGATTGCCATTTCACAGTCATACTGAGTTTTCATGGTACATTGAGAAGAGCACTAGATTAAAGATGAAAGAGATCTGAGTTCTAATCCCTACTCTAACTTTTGTATGACCTTGGTCAAGCTATTTAACCTATGTGAGTGTTTCCTTCATTTGTCATAATGGAGATAGCAAGTCTTGGAATACCCATCTCAAAGAGTTGCTGTGAACTACATGCTCTGCAAACTGTAAAATGCTATAGAAGTATGTTATGATTATGAAATTAAGAGGACATGGGTTCAAATTCAACCTCTGACCCTTACTACTTGCATGACCTTGAGCAGCTCTCATAACCCTCTGGGCCCCAGTTTGCCCATCTCTAAAATAAGGTGGTTAGACTACATGACCCACAAGATTGATTCCAATTCTAGATCAATTAATCAATCAAGAAACATTTATGAAGCACCTATGTGCCAGGCACTTTGCTAAACGTGGGGATACAAAAAGAGGTGAAAGATAGTCTTTCCCCTCAAGGAGCTTACAATCTATAATCTATGATTCTATGATCCCCTAGGTCATTATTCCACAGACTGGGGGTGTCTAGCCATGCCCCCCTGATTTTGTTCTTGTGTAGCTGACTTTTAAAATTCAAGAGTTAGACTTTACATTTATGTTTATTAAATGTGAAATGAATAAACAGCTCAGTCTTCTAGCCTGTCAGATATTCTTGGAACACAGCTCAGTCATCCAACTTGTTAGATGTCCCTCTCAGCTTCAAGATGTCTATAGATTTGAGAGGCAAAGACATCTGTGCCTTCATCTCTGTCATTAATTTTTTTTAAAAAATGAACAAAAAAGGGCCAACTTCCCCAAGTTACAAATAAGGAAACTAAAACAGTTAAATGACTTTGCCCACCACCCCCAGAGAGTTAGGAGCAGAGCTGGGACTATCAATAATGACACCATACATCAATCTGGTGCTTCACCGATAACAAGGTTCATCCATGCTCATCACCTTGTTTGATTTTCACAATAGCTCCAGGATATCAGCAGGTCAGTGAGATGGTCCTCCATGTACACATGAGGACACAGATCAAGAGTACTCAGATTATTTGCTCAAAGTCTGAAAGCTACCATATAGCCATTCAGGGGCTACAGGGCAGGCACCCTGATTCCTTGATCAGTTTTGAGGGAGTTGAGGGGAATAGGGCAACAAATGATTCATTGTAGGAACTCAGTGAACCACACTGACTCCATCTTGTGACTCAATTCTGGAGCTAGCTTAGTTTCTCTTCAATTATAGGTCTAGTCCAATTTCTGTCTTGTGAGAAAACTTTATTCAACTGTGGAATTGGGAGAAAACCTTATTTCATTGTTTGAACATAGTCCTGCATGGCTGGGGAAGCTAGACTATTACGTGCTTCTTAGACACTCTTAACCAAGGTTATGCTGACCCAGAAACCCAGTCAGACCCAGCAGCTGAGTTTTCTCACAATTGTGCATCTCAAGCAGTCTATACGTTTTATCTGAAAACTGACCCATGCTGACTAATCAGTTATTGTTTCCATGTTCCTTTGATTGTTGACAGATACTTGGGGATCGGGACACTTTCTTTTCTGAATTCAGGGAATTACACCTGTTCACTTTCCCCCTCCAGACTTGGAAAGTCCCTAATCTTTCATCCAATTAGAAATCAGATTATCTACTCTTGTATTGTTTACTTTTAATGAATGGGACTTATTTGATTAATTGCTTTTAATGTATAGTCAGGCAGCTAGGTGGAACATTGGACAGAGTGCTGAACCTGGAGTCAGGAAGGCTCATCTTCCTGAGGTCAAATCTGGCCTCAGACACTTTTTAGCTGTGTGACCCTGGGCAAGTCATTTAATCCTGTGTGCTTCAGTTTCCCACCTGGAAAATGAGCTGGAGAAGGAAATGGCAAACCACTCCAGTATCTTTACCAAGAAAAGCCCAAATAGGGTCATGAAGAGTCAGACATGACTGAACAATAACAAAAGTTTTAATTTTTAAAAGTCTGTCTCCCACTGTATTCAGGATCCAGGCCTAAACTGAGGAAGGGGCCTGGTCCCTATTTGTTAAGCAATTGGTATGCATTGCTTTAATACAATGGTATGTTGAGAAGATCAAACCTTTGTTTCCTCAGTCATTTCATCTTTCAACTGCCAGTTTTCATTCCACTATGTCATCTTTCCTGGTCAAACACCAGCTGAGAGTGGTGGGGTCAGGGAAAGCAGGGAGGCTATTTGCTCAGAAGTGTGCTGTGTAAACGGCAGACCAGAATTAAAAGTGCATTGAGTGAGGCAGCTAGGTGGCACAGTGGATAGAGCACCGGCCCTGGAGTCAGAAGGATCTGAGTTTAAATTTGATCTCAAACATGTACTAGTTGTATGATCCTGGGTAAGTCATTTAACCCCAATTGCCTCACAAAACCCCCCAAAACAAACAAAAACTCATTGGGGAAAACTATTTGTAATAGATAATGTCTTCTAAAGAAACCAGACTCACAACTATATTTTCTTTATGTACATTTTTTTATTTACACATGATGAATTGTGACCAGGTTATTAGGGACATAAAGATGTGTGGTATAGTGACTGGGCAGAGACGAGATCTCCGTAGCTGTGAGATATAGCTAAACATAATGTAAGTTATTGATCCTCAATATGATATTCTGGTCATTTGCTGTAGCTTTTCTGGCCCTGCTCAGGGACACTGGAAGGTGCCTCGATCCCCACAGACCCAGGGCCAAGATCCTCTTCTGCTCCCAGGGGCTGCTGGCTCTCAGCTCCACCTGAAACAAGAGGGGAAACAGGGAATTATGTCACAACTCAGAATCAGACTTGGTAGAGAACTGAGAAGAGAGAATGTTAGAGCTAGAGGAGACCTTAGAACATAGAACTTTGGCTATGTCAGAACTGGAAGGGACCCTAACTGACTGAAGACCAGAGAGGGTAAGTGATTTGCTCATTGTCACACAGCGAATAGATGGCCAGAATTCAAACCCAGGTCTACTGATGCCTCGTTCTAGATTCTTTCCACTAGCCAGACTCATAGCCAAGCCTTTCTTCCACTTGCTTCAGCATCTGGCCAGGCAGAGCTGAGATCTGGCTTCCAGCCCCTGGAGTGGAATAGAAGTCACCCTGTCCCTTGGCAACAAAGGCAATTGGCTAGCTGATCATAAGGCCAATGTTTCTGGGGACAGTGCCAGCCAGAAAGGGAGTTAGCAGTGCTAACATAACAAAGGTAACAATATATTTGGCTTAAATTAACAAGGTGTCGTTAATCTTGTATACCCACTGAATACTCAGTGTAACTCTCTTGCTTGGTGAAGTATTTGGGGATTTCTCTATTCTCTCCTCCACCTCGTCTTTCGTGGTCTCCTATATTTCTTAGGAATTTCTTAGAAGCAATGCATTTCAAAGCCAGGATGAACTGATGACTTCTGATTTGAACCTAGACTCCACATCCAGGGCTGTCTCCATACCCAATCCACTCTAGAGTTACTTCTTCCTCCTCTCTACTCCTATAATCACTGCACAGGGAACCCCCACTTAGTGCTTCTTAGCAAATAAGATAACATACACAAAGTGTTTCGTGAAGCTAGAAGTGCTCCAAAATGTTAGTTATCACCATAACTGTCATCATCACTTTTAGAATCAGAAAATCATGGAGTTGAAAGGGAATTCAGAGATCATCCCATCCATATGAGGAAACCAATTCTACCTAGGGAAAGTGACTTGCCCAGGGTCACATAGCTGGATGACACCAAGCTAATATTAAAATCTTTCATTGGTTCAGCATTTTATAGTTTACAGAGGAGTTTTCATTACCATTCTATAATTTGATACAGCAACCTGTTCGTGGCCACATAGCTACGTTTATGCAGCTGGTGGTATAGCAATTAGGGTACTAGGCCTAGAGTCAGAAGAGACCCAAGTTCAATTCCAACCTCAGACACTAATTTTGGGATCTGGGGCAAGTCACTTAATTTCGGTTTGCCTGAGTTTCCTCATAAAATGAGGATAATAGTAGCACCTACCTCTCACATAGAGTTGTGAAGATCAAATAAGATAATATTTGTAAAAAGCATTTAACACTCTATATAAATGCTACTTGTTATTATTAAGTCATATCAAGTTGGAAAGGCATCTCTATGGATTTGATGTGTGTCATCTGAGGACCAGTCTCCTAAGTTTGGAGAGGCAGATTGTGAGGTTGACTAAAGGGTCAAAGACCACTTACTAAGTCATGGAGGGGTTTCAGGGACTGGATTTTGTTGTTGTTTTTGCCTTTGTTTGTATTCTTAGCATGTAGCAGGTACTTCATGAATGCTTGTTGACTTGACTTGGTGACATGACTAACCTAACATCCCATTTGAAAATGATTCCCACACTCACTGCATTTACCTGTAGATGCTTTCAGTGTCCGGATGTACTTGGACCAGAAGGAGCATTCAGCTTTTTTCAGTCCCTGGTGATTCAGAAGTCCAGGGCTAAATTCTTTATAGTTATCTCCATTAGTGTGGGGAAGGAATTCTGGCCACAAGGGTGTAGTTTCTAGTACCTTCTTTGAGAAGTCATAAGGATAATTGGGATTTCTGGAAAAAAAAAAAGGAGTCAACCATTAAAAACATTGGAGATTATCTGGCCCAACCTTCTCTTATTACAGATGAGGAAACTAAGGCCCAGAAAATTGACATGAGCTGGGTAGGGTGGCACATACTTATAATTCCTATTACTGGAGAGGCTGAGGCTGACGGATTGCTTGAGCTCAGGAGTTCCAAGCTGAATCAGTAATATTACAGCCAATCTGTGTCCAATCTGGCACCAATATTGTGAGCCCCCAAAAGTAGGGGACCACCCAGCCACCTAAGGAAGAGTAGACTGGTCTCTGTTGGAGACGGAACATACTAAAGCTCCCATCCTAATAGTATTGGCAGTGGATTGGAACCATGAGAGGCCACCGCACGTCCAGCCTAGGTGAGATAGGGAGATGAGTCCCCAAAAAAGAAAGAGAAAGAAAAAATGGAGGGAGGGAGGGAAGGCAAGAGGAAAGAAGGAAGGAAATAAGGATATAAGAAAGGAAAGAAAGAAGGAAGACAGAAGAGACTTGCTCTAGGCCACATAGCCACAGTGGTCACAGAAATAGGGCAAGAACTAAGTTTTTTATATTATACCATTTAGCTACCAGTACCCTCTGTAGGGGGCAGCTAGGAAGCACAGTGGACAGAGTGCTGGGCCTGTAGTCAGGAGGACCTGAGTTTAAATTTGGCCTTACACACTTAAGAGCTGTGTGACCCTGGGCAAGTCACTTAACCCTGTTTTTCTGTTTCTTCATTTGTAAAATGAGCTAGAGAAGGAAATGGCAAACCACCCAGTATATTTGTCAAGAAAACCCCCAGAAGAAGTCACAAAGAGTTGGATATGACTAAATGACAAGTCCTCTGTAAACCTGTGGGGATTTTGTTTTCATACATACTCATTCATAGGATCGTTGTTGAGCTAAATAGGGGAGTATCGACTTCATGATGTGTCTAATTTTTTCCTAAATTTGTGTTTGTTTGTTTGATCTTATATCTGGGTCACCATCTGCTAGTGAAAGAAAACCTCTGAAGTGTCAGTAGAGCATGAATGAGTGTGACATAGAAGATTTGGGACGTGTATTTTTCCTCCGAGAATCAGTAATTCCCATGATATGCACAGGTTGGGAGGGGACACACTGACTCTGACCTTGACTGGCTGAAGATATGATCCATTGAGGGCAGTGCTGGGAGCTCTGTGCTCCTGTACAACTCTGCCTGCTGCTATGGGGCTGGAGCCATGGAACTGCCCTTCGGACATGCATGGGTTGCATGCTTACCCTGTCTTGATGAAGTTGGTGAAATACTTCATTATTTTCAGTGACAGGCTTTTTTGTTCCAGAGTAAACTGCTGTTCATACTGAGGATGGAAGGGTAGTCCAAAGGCATATTGAACATCAGCTAGCAACTCCATGCTGTAACAATAGATTTTTTTAAAAAGCAGATTAAACAATTATGGTATATGATTACAATTGAATACTATTATATTGATCGCATGAGATAGCATTTGTAAAGGGCTCAACACAGTGCCTGGCACATGTGTTGTTGTTCAGTTGTGTCCGACATTTTGTGACCCTGTGGACCAAAGCATGCCAGGCCCTTCTGTCTTCCACTATCTCCTGAGGCTTATCCAAGCTCTGTGGAATTTTCTTGGCAAAGATTCCGGAGTGGTTTGCCATTTCCTTCTCCAGTGGATCACCTTTTGTCAGAATTCTTCATTATGACCTGTCCGTCTTGGGTAACCCTGCATGGCATAGCTCATAGTTTCATAGTGATCCACATGGGGCTTGGCACATAGTAGATGCTACATAAATTCTCCCTCTCCCTTCATTGTGTCAGGAAAAACAACAAAGGGGATGGTTTTAGAGAAACCTGGGAAGGAACTGACACGGAATCCAGAAAGAAAAATCAGAACAATTTATAACATTAGAAATATTATAAAAAATGAACAAACTGGAAAGATTTGATGATTTGCTCAGTTCATTGTCAGTCATGATTCCAAATGACCAATGATCAAACATTCTACCCACTTCCTGAGCAGAAGAGGTGAACTCAAGATGCAGAAGGAGACATGCATTTTTGGACATGGCCAGCAGAGGAATTTGTTTTATTTGACTATGTGTATTTGTTACAAGGGTTTTATTTTTCTAGGGTTCTCTTTATTTGAAGTAAAAAGGGAGGGGATTATTCTGCTCATTTGATAAATGAGGAAACAGACTCAAAAAATTAGGAAAGACTTTGCTTAAGGTCTCACTGCTCATAGATGCCAGGGCCAGGGCTAGCATCTAGGCAGTCAGACGCCAAAGTCCTTTCTTTGCTTTTTTTTGTTTTTTGTTGTTGTTGTTGTTTTGGAGGCACTTGGGGTTAAGTGACCTGCCCAGGGTCACACAGCCAGCAAGTGTCTGAACGGCTCTGTGCTTAACACAGTGCCTGGCACATAGTAGGTCCTTAATAAAAGCTAGCTGACTGACTCACAAGAGGATAGGCTTACCTGGGGCTTGGAATAAATGATCTCCAAGGTCACTTCCTACTGCAACATTCTATGATTCTGGGAACCTGTTCTTTACCCAATTCCTCTACAACTCAGTCTATTGACTGAGGACTTCAAGATGTGTCTCAACATTTGTTACTGTAAGTGCTCTTTTTTGGGTTTTATTTATTTACTTCTTTTTAAAAAACCACATTATAATTGTAATCTGATCTAAGAAATGTTCTCTTTCAGTAGAAACAGCTAAGAAAGAAGTAGAAACAGCTCCAAAATATGAGCAGGCAGCCATCTGTAAGGTAACCAGATGTTCTTCTCTGGCATAAGCAGAGAACATAATAATGTTAATCTAATAATAATCTCATCTAATAATAACAACTCACATTTATGTATCAATTCAAGATTTACAGGCTGCTTTTCTCACCACCATCCTTTGAGGAAGGTAGCACCCACGTTGTTGCTTCCATTTTATAGATTAGGAAGCTAAAATTTAAAAGTTAAATGACTTCCTCTGGTCACACAGAGGTCACACAAGAGTCAAAATTTGGCTAATCTCATGGACGAATGGATGAATGAGTGAACAAATGAATGAGTGAACAAAAAAAAGTTTATTGAGCTTGTGCTATGTGTCAAGCACTGTCCCAAATACTAGGCATACAAACACAAGAGCAGAAACATTCCCTGCCCTTGGGATGCTTATGTTCTAATGTATCAGTAGCAGGGCTCAGACCTGACCACAAGTACTAAGGCTGCTCAGGCAGGTAATCTCATATTTATTTAGTACAAGGATACAGACCTGACCTTTGAAGTCATGAGTTTAAGGAACTTCTAAGACGAAGAAACTCCTTCTATCCTTGAAGGTCAGCACCTTCTCTACAATTTACAGCCTTAGAAAATTATCTAGAACACTGAGTAACACAGCCTAGGGTGACACAGTCAGAATATGTTGAACCTAGGTTTTTCTGGCTCCTAGATGATAGATCTCTCTATCCACTATGCTACCATGCCTCTTTATGCAGTACATTTGTAAATTAATTGAGAGAGAATAATGCAGAGGAGACAGCATAGTTTACAGAAAGAGCACTTGCCTGGTAGGATGAGACCTGAGTTCTGCTTCCAGCTAATTGTGTAAACCTGGGCAGCTCACGTCATCTCCCTGACTTCAATTTCCTCATCTCTAAGATGGAATGATTGGATGAGATGATCTTTATGAATCCTTTCAGTTCTAACTATTTTTCTGTTCAGTTCTAACTATTTTTCTGTTCTACGTTCCTTTTGGCATTAACAATCCATGTTCTAACTTCCATTTAAGCCCAAATATTTTGTGTTCTAAAGTCCGTTCCAGTGCTAACATTCTATAATATACAAAAGAGATCAGATATGGAAAGCATCATGAGGCTCTTAGAAGAAACAATGGCAGGCAGGCATAAGAAGGTCTGGCCATGTCAACTTTCCATTCAGTAAACTCCGGTAGCCCCCTATTACCTTCAAGATCAAATATAAAATCCTGTTTGGCTTTAAAAACCCTGGCTCCTTCCTAGCTTTCTAGTCTTCTTACTCTATATTCCCCTCAGTGGACCTCACAGTCCAGCAACACTGACCTCCTTGCTGGGCCTCAAATGTGACACTCCCATCTCCCAATTCTGGGCCTTTTCACTGGCTGTCCCCCATTGCCTGCAATTCTCTTCCTTCCCTTCCCATCTCTGCCTCCTGACTCCCTTGGCTTCCCTCAAACTTCACCTCTTCTGATGCCACTTAATCTAGCGTCTTTCTTCTGTTTTTTTTTTTTCTGATTTTCCTGTATATAGCTTCTTGGTACATAGTTGTTTGAATGTTGTTTCCCCCCTTTGACTGTGAGCTCCTTGAGGGGAGGTATGGTGATTTTGGCTTTCTTTGTAACCCTAGTGCTTAGCACAATGATTGCTCATAGTAGGAACTTAATAATTGCTAGTTGACTCACTGACTAACAATCAGGAATATGGCTGAAGATCTATCTTTCTTAAAAAGAGGTAAATTATTTTGTGTCAGTAGCAAAAGAATTGAGAAAGCAGTGAGACAAATGGTATACTTAACGTTCCTCTTTGTCTGCTGGTATGTCAACAAGGGGGCTACCTTCCTCCCACTTCTGCAACTACCTTGGATATATATATATATGTATATATATATGTATGTATATATATATGTATGTATATATGTATGTATATATGTATGTATATATGTATATGTATCTATGTGTGTATATATATATATATGTATTTGATGTTGAAGAAGGAAAAGATAATGAAATACTCCCTCCATTCAAAGACTACCCCATGCCTCTGGGCCTGGCACCCAAAAAATCTAAATTTCGTTGGAAATAGCACTGGCAAGGAGTAAGTATTAGACTGTTCATTGCTCTCTGCCTCTCACTATCTGTGTGACTTTTCACAACTCACTTCCTCTGCTACATCTATAGATCTATATGTATATCTATAAAAATATCTATATCTATAGATCCATGTGTAGATCTATAAAAATATATGTAGCTATAGAGCTTTATATATATCTATCAAAATATATCTATAAATCTACATGTCTACGTATATCTATTGACTATCTATATCTATAGATGTATATGTATCTATCAATTATCAAAATATCTATATAGATCTATGTGTATATCTAGACAATATCTATATCTATAGATCTATAGATCTATATAATGTTTTTCCCATTAGATCATGATCTTCATGAGGGCAGGATCTATTTCACTTCTGTCCTTGTTTCCCCAATGCTTAGGCCAGTGTGTGAAACGTGATACATGGACAGCAAAGCCACCCAAGGGACCAGAACACGGGCTGTCCAAGGGACCAAAGCCCAGGTGCAGGAGGCAGCCTTGTCAAACATATTTGGTCAGGGACCAGTTTCAGTTTCAGGATTCCTCAACTCAATGAAGCAAAGCCCACGGAGCCATGGACTGTGAATGTCTTATACTTTCCCATCTTGGCCTCCACTTGTCAGGAAGTCTATGGGAAGAGCAATTTACTGGATTGTAAAAAGCTGAATCTGATATGTCATCACAAGTAAAGTACATTCCATTGACCGAATGCTGACCCTCTCTCCTTCCTGTGTCCTGATTATGTATCGTCATTCTGAAGAAATTTCAAAATCATTCAAAGGTATTTTAGAGGTTACCTAAGATGACCCTATCTTTTTACTTACTTGAGAAATAAGGCAGAGGAAGTGAGTTGTGAAAAGTCACACAGATAGTGAGAGGCAGAGAGCAATGAGCAGTCTAATGTTTACTCCTTGCCAGCATTCTTTCCATTGAAATTCAGGGATTTTTTTCGGTGCCAGGCCCAGAGGCATGGGGTAGTTTTTGAATGGAGGGAGTATTTCATTATCTTTTCCTTCTTCAACATCAAATAAAATTTTATTCTAAATTTCAAACACTTATCATGTTCTTATTGTTAAAAATGATGACAGTTACTTGTGCTTATTTTTAAAAAATGAGTTTTTGTTCATTTTCTGAATATCACCTACATTTTCCACTATATCCTTTCACTATATCAGAGTATCATCTCATTACCAATAACTTTTGAAAAGAGGAAGGAAAATAATGTTTAGCAAAACTAGCCAAGAGATATAACATAATGGATGCCTTGTTCCTGGTCCTCCACTTCTGCAAAGAATCAAAGGATGTCAGACTAGTTTTTTAAGGATTGGAGAAAAGTACTTAATAGAAAAACTCATTTCAGTTTTCATCTCCTCTAGATAGCCTTCCTGGACCACTTGAGCCCACAATGATTTTCCCTCCCTTCCTGACCAACTATTTTTGCCTATGAATACATTCTAACTCAGGAGGAAACTAGGTAGCTCATTGGATAGAGCCCTGGTCCTAGGGTCAGGAAGATCAAAGTTCAAATCCCACCTCAGACAGGCAAGTCATTT